GAAAATTGTTTATGGGTGATTTAAATTATTGAAATAAGTGTTTTAAAACACAACTACAGCAATTTTAGATGATTTAATAAAGCTAGAATTTTTATATATAAGCTATAATTATGTTTCATGAAAGGATTTTTAATTACGCATTATTTGGGAATAAAAGTAAGGGTTTTAAATTAAATTTCAGCTTGTTTTTAAAGGAATTATGAGTGACTTAAAGAGTGTATATACTGCTCGAAATTTGTGTGGAATAGGTATTATGCCTCTTTGTAATTTTGGTTTGTAGGATGTTTCCAAGTAAGTGATTTTATTTAGTCGTGGCGATTTTGAGATCATATTCAAGGTACGTTCGTGTACTTGGTAATTATTTGAATACGTATAAGCATGCTAGGCTTTGTTTATTTAATTTCAAGTAGTATCATGATAAGTGTTGGTTGGAATTTGTTGTATGATTGATGTTGGTGAATGATTTGTGATGTGCGAATTATTTATGATGAATTGGTAATTGGAATTAATCATATTGGCATGTTGATTATGAGCCACACTTTTATTGTTGGCATGATAGAGAGCATGTTTAATTAAACTAAACGTTTAATTGAGTTTGGAATATTGAAAGGAATTTTATTATGGTTCATATAATTTTATTGATGCTATAAGCATGAGGAAGGAGCTATTTAAGTGTCTATGTACACGAGGATTAAATTATATTTTGGTGCCTAAGTGCACTTAAGGTGTTCTAAACATCGAGGAATAGGATTTGTGGTGCTTTACGCGCTTAAGGTGTTATTTAACACCGAGGTAATTTAAAAAGGATTCAACATTAAATTTATGTGGTCACTAATTATTCAAGAATTAAATTGGTATGTTTAATTGCTTGAATGAATTATAGTGCTTGATTGTGTTATGGTTTTAGAGTCATCACCAAGTGTAATAATATGTAAAGCAACGTAAAGTGAAAGAGATTACGCACCAAAACTCTTGGAACGTATATACCTTGAATATGAACATATGGAGGGAGTTATGCGAATTTATATTTGACCATACTTTCTACTGGGAGTACATGATGCTGTACATTCCTTTTCATTATGTGCAAGAATTCTGCCACTTACGAGTGGTTCTTTTTTTTACTGGCACGGTTAGCTCCAGTGTTAGTACCCCTTTATTGGGGCAGGTTAGGGGGATACCCGTTCATTGCGTAATCAAATAAATGGACATTGGTATTTACTAGTTAAGTGTTGAATGTCTTGTATGCTTCACTACAAGAAAACAACTTGATTTCGACGGAAAAATTCCGTCGGAAACTAGCCTTCCGACGGAATTCCGTCGGAATCCGTCTGTCGCAAAACCCTTTGTAGGAAATTTGACCTTTTCCAACGAAATTTCCGTCAGAAGGCTAGTTTCCGACGGATTTATTTCTGTCGGCCCTGTTTTGACTTTAATTGAAATTCTGTCGCAATTTTCTGACGGAAATTTCCGTTGGAGTTGGTGAGGTTTCCGACGGAAATTTTCATCGGAAAAGTCAATAAAAAAAAAAAACCGGCCCCACCCCTAACCCTTACCCCACCCAGAACCACCCTGTCCAAACTTCCCCCACCACCCACCCTGACCAAATCCCCCCCACACACCCCTAACTAGACCCCTACCCTGTCGAGCCACCACCACCCCACCTAACCAACCCCTAACCCACCCACCCAGAAAAACGAAAAAAAATAAAATACCAAATCGAAAAAAATAAAAATGTAAAATCTGAAACAAAAATTACCACAAAAACAAGATCTAAACCAGTAGATATGCATATTTGATCTGAATTTCAATATAAAAAAACGACAATTCACTTTTATCATTACAAATATCTAATAAATTTATAAACTACAATTACAATTACAAAAATAATTAAATATAATCATAAGTGTTTAAAAACAAAACAAGATCTACAATTTAACCTTAACTAAAACTAGATCTACAAAAAAACCTTGGTGTTATTGTGACGGTGGCCATTGTTTCGCGGTGGTGGTGTTGTTGTGGAAACCTTGAGATGCTCGCGCGGTGGTGTTGTTGCGACGATGGTTGTTGGTTGTCGGTGCTGCTGGTGTCGTTGGTTGTTGGCTTCGGTGCGGTGGTCGAAGAGGACGAAGAAGGAGAAGAGGAAAGAGGACGAAGAAGGAGATGAGAGAGAAAGAGTGGGCGGAGGAGAGAGAATGAAGGAGGAGAAGAGGTCAGAGAGGAAGAAAAGAGGAAAGAGGAGAGGAGAGGAGAGAGAAAAAGAAGAGAGGCGGAGGAGAGGAGAGAGAAAAGAGAAGAGAAACAGGAGGAAAAGAAGGAGAGAGAAAGAGAAATGAGAAGGAGAGAGAACCGGTTTCTTAGGGTTTAGTTTTTTTATATTATTAAATTCCGACGGGTTATATTTTCGTCGGAATCTTCCTACGGATTTTTATTCCGTCGGAAAACGCTTATATTCCAACGGATTTTTATTCCGTCGGAAATTTCCGTCTTTTCCGAGGGAATTACGTGTCCGTCGAAAATTGACCTATATCTAGTAGTGCTTGTTTACAAATGCAACAGGGTAAGTTGTGTGATGATATGATGAAAGCATGATAGTGTGTTTTATTACGCTTATGTGCTAAGCATTGCTGATTGTGTGTTGTATGTTTGTTTGGCCTTGTCTTTACCTTGGCCCTACGACGACCCATTCCTAATGGCGAGTAGTGGGGACAATTAGAGAGAAGTTTTTCAAGTGGTGAAGCATTTTCATGATGGGCATGAGTGAAGAGCGAATCATTCTTAGTTTCCATAGGAATATGATGTGTTTTATTTGCTTTGAATATTATTTATTTTATTATGCTCATGAGACTAACGCAAAGGTTTTCAGTATTATTTGGTTTTAAGGGCCTACAATGGTTCCAAGCTGTAGGTTGACTTTGTTTAATTTTGGTTTGACTTTACTTTATTTTGGTTTGACTTTTTAAGTTGACTTGTTTTGGATAGTTTTAAAAGACAGTCTTCCGCTATGTGTCTTTGATATTTTCCTTAGCTATTTTCACGGTAGCGGTAATGTCTTAGATTTTCCTATTTCGTATTTTAAAGGGAAAAACATGTATTTTGAAGGAAATGAATTTCTAGGGTATTAAAATAACTATTGCTTTCCTAAGCATAAAAGTATCAATTTTTTAAGGGTTTGATACAGTGCTTTCGTGGCCCAAAATCACAATTAACACAATTCTGCAACATGCTAACCCACAAGTAAAAGCAATCTTAATCACACGCCCCATCTGCAAGTGTTTAGGTGTATTTTTTTGTCCCACCTATAATAATTTTTTTTTAACAAATCAATTCATTAATAAAAAGGCATACATCATCTACAAATAAAATCTAAATCAACAAATACATAAAATTGAATCAAATAAGGGTTTCCTTGATCAAAGTTACGATCGTTGAATAAATCTTGCATTGTGGTACATCTTTCGTACACATCGCTGGAATATACAACCTTTTTGAAGAGATAGTCTAACGATTTGTTATAGCTGTAAAAATGATTTTCATCTGATTCACTTGAACGAATTTGAAATTTGACAACCGTTGCGATCCTGAACAAATCTTTACCAACGAAGTGATAATAGGACAAAATATGATTACCTTTTTGATAACCCTAACACACACACAAAAAAAAAATTAAACAAAAACAAATAACTAAGGGCTTGTTGACATCGTTTTTTGTTTTCAGTTTTCTGTTTTTCCGAAAACAAAAATTCAAAAATTGGAAACAAGAAAAAGGTGTTTCCACTTTTCTGTTGCAGTTTTCAAAATTACAATGAGTTTAATAAATTTGAATAAATTTTTTATTCATTGTATGACATATATCATATGATTTGAAAACAAAAAACCAAAAAATAGAAAACCACAGTGATATCAAACGACTCCTAAACTAACAAAAACTAATGACTCCATCATAAGGAAACACTCCAACATAGGAAGATGGAAAAACATCTACACTAATTGTGTAGGTTTATTAAAATTTAAATTGAAAAACTAAAGAAAATTAAGGGAAAGGGGTCTCCTATAGTAATTTAGGAACAATTACTTGGGCTGTTTGGATCCAATTCAAATTCAAATTTGTTTGAATCCAATTCCAATTTAAATCGTAACTCCAAAGTATCTGAAAACAAATAAAGAAGTAAAACAAAATCCAATATTAAAATTCACAAACTTTATAAAATTGACTCACAAAATCCAAGTTAACAAAAAGTTCATTTACATATTAGATTGAACTCATTTTTTTTATAAGCAGCAATGTATTTATTATATGGTCCACATGATAAGCAAATAGCATAATCATCCACCTCAATATCTTTTAGCATTTCTCTAGTGATTCATCTATTCAACTCAAGACATCAAGCCAACGTACAAAGGAGTTTGTATGAACATTAAGTATATTCCAAATTCATGCGTCCCCTTGAGCACTTTCAAGATGCAACTAACTCATTCATTCATTCATTGTACTCTCTTCATTTATTTAAAGTAGTTCCATTTAAATCCTGAAAGATTCCAATCTAAATAAAATAACAATAAGTGAATCGTTGAGGGTGACCTCGTTCCATTTCAAGAGACCGTACCCTTCTGGTTAGCTTGAGCTCGTTGGATTAACATGTGTATATTCTACTTTAATAGGGTCTTCTCCTTAATTGTTTACCGATAACTTAATAAGTAACAAGCATAATAAGTTTATATTTTACAACAATTCTACTGGTTAGTAAATTACGAAATAACTTTGCATTTTATAATTCTACTTGACAAGTGTTTAGTAACAAGCATATTCATTTTGCATTTTATAATTCTATTAGCTAGTAAAAAGCGTGAAAATTACACAGAGCTTAATTAAGTGAATTAGAGGAAAAAACTCCCTCGAAAGAAAGGGCACTCTCTCTCGAGAGAAAGAGCTTTCTTTATCCTTGTGATAGAACCCTATCGGATTCCGGTAGTTTTGTTGCTTTGATTTCTGTTTAATCTTGATGGCGGAGGAAATTGTGAACCTCTACTCTCGGCTTTGTATTCGAGAGGAGGAGAAGAAATCGATTGACCTAGGAGCCCTAACGAGCGGCGAGGAGGAGAATAATCTGTCACTAATGCTTGTTGGGAAACTGCTCACACATAGGTCCTATAACGTTGAGGCGTTCAAGAAGACAATCACTAGCATCTGGTCTCCGATTCATGGTTTGGCAATTAGGGTTCTTAGCCCTAATCTCTACGCTTTCCAATTCTTTCATTGGAAAGATCTCGATAAGGTGTTACGAGGACGTCCATGGTGTTTCGATAATATGCTCGTTCTATTGAAAGAAATCGATGGTGATGAACAACCAGAAGATGTGACTCTCACGCACTCCCCTTTTTGGGTTCGTATAAAAAACCAACCCTTCAATTGCAGATCGAACTCCCATGTCAGGGCAATTGTGGAGGGGATGGGTAAAGTTATGGAGATTGAAGAGGATATTCTTGGAATAGGGAGATACCGGAGGGTTCGATTAATGCTTAATATCACAAAACCCTTGAAGCGTTTCCAGGAAATCAAAGATCGCAGAGGAAGAGAATCGTATGTGAATTTTGCTTACGAGAGACTCCCTTTTTTCTGTTTCTCCTGTGGGATAATGGGGCATGCTGAGCGTGAGTGTCATAATGTTACTGAAGAGGACAGGCAGGAACAATTGGGATGGAGCTTAGACCTAAAGGCTACCCCAAGAAAAGGAATGTCGAAGGAAATGGAAGAGATTGAGAATCTGAAGGCATGTAGAACACTGTTGTTGACTGTCAAGCCTAGCCAGGAAGGGAAAGAAAAATAAAATGAAGATGTAATCAATGAACATCTCATTGTGAAACAGACTGTTCTGACCAAGGGCTGTGTTACGCTCTCCTCCCCTGTTCAATCCATAATAGAGCTCTCGGGTAGCCAGGAACAAAACTCTGGCTTTGGTGCTCCATTATCTCCTAGTCGAGCTCCGAAGACCACATAACAGGATAGCAGGCTGGAGTTGGATACTGAAGGAGAAATAGCATTGAAAACCCGTACGTGGAAAAGAATAGGCCAGACAAAGCAAAATGCAACAGAGGTTACCACTGATGCACCCACTAAACGTGGTTCAAAGGAGTTAGGCTCTATAGAAGATGACACCTTCGGAGGGAAGCGAATTAAGCAGGGTGAGGTGAATACGATGGATGTTTCAATGGCGGCGGTGATTGGCTCGGGCCAATCCCGCCTCACACAATGAGTGTACTATGTTGGAACTGCCGGGGTTTGGGCAACTCCTTGTCAGTTCGACAGCTTCGTTAATGGAGCACTAAATTTGCCCCCGATATGATTTTTGTATCGGAGACGATGATAAATAAAATTGATGTTGAGAAAGTGAAGGATCGGCTGGCCTACCCTAATGCTTTTGGGGTGTCTAGCAGAGGCAAGGCTGGTGGATTATGCCTATACTGGAAGAATGAGGTGGATTTCAATCTCATCTCCTTCTCCCAAAATCATATATATGGGAACATAAAAAACGAAGATGGCTGTGCATGGAGATTTGTAGGGTTGTATGGGTGGCCTAGAGAGGAAGAAAAGAATAAAACTTGGTCCCTTATACGTGACTTAGTTTCTGATAAGGATACTCCTATACTACTAGGGGGCGACTTTAATGAAGTTTTGAGATATGATGAAGTGGAAGAGGGAGTGGATAGAGAGAGAAAGGAAATTGCAAACTTTCGTGAAATCATGGATGTCTGCGATCTCAGGGACTTGGGGTATGTAGGTAGCTGGCACACATGGGAAAGAGGAACCTCGGTGGAGAACAAAATCAGAGAGCGCCTTGACCGATTCATTGCCTCTCAAGCTTGGATAAACCTCTTCCGAAACTACAAAGTAGAGCACCTTATACGGTACAGGTCTGATCATAATCCTATTGTACTATCCCAGGTTGCTAGCAGAGGTAACCAAAAAAAGAAGAAAAAGAAGTTCACCAAGTTTGAGACAAGTTGGCTGTGGGACGAGACTTGTGAAATAACAGTGAGGAAAGCCTGGGAGGACTCTGTGGGAGAGGCAGCTCCGGACAGAATTGTAGCTGTGGCTCGGGGTCTAGGGGTTTGGAGTGGAAAAAAATTCCACAAGCTCAAAAAGCAAGCTACTGAGACTGAATTAGCTCTGTTCAATGCCCAGAAAAAGAAGAATTTCAGCACATAGTGTTGATGAGTGCATACGGCTTGAGAAGAAGCTAGATGAACTGAATGAGAAAATTGAGGCTTATTGGTATATTAGAAGCAGAGTGGCGGAAGTCCGAGACGGTGACAGAAATACTAAATATTTCCACCATAAAGCATCGCAACGGAGGAAGAAGAATTTCATTAATGGGATATTTGATGAGAATGGAGTCTGGCAAAAAGATGAGAAGACCATCGAGATGATCATCACGAAGCACTTTGAGACCTTATTCTCCTCCTCGAATCTGACTGATGATGTTATCTGGGAAGTCCTGAATTCCACAAACCCGGTGATCTCGGATGAGGCAAATAGAGAGCTTGCCAGGCCCTACACAAAGGGAGAAATTTTTGATGCTCTCAAACAAATGCAACCACGCAAAGCTCCTGGGCCGGATGGTATGCATGCAATTTTTTATCAACGATTTTGGCATATTATTGGTGATGATATTGCATTATTTGTTATTAATATTCTGCATGGTATTTTTTCCCCTAGCCGTGTGAATAGTACTAATATTGTATTAATTCCCAAGGTAAATAAACCTACTACTACTGCAGAGTATAAACCTATTGTTTTGTGTAATGTTCTGTATAAACTGGTGTCGAAATCGATTGTCATGAGACTCAAAAATATTCTTCCAGAAATCGTCTCGGAAAACCAAAGTGCTTTTGTCCCTGGTCGGCTTATTACTGATAATGCTTTAATAGCTCTGGAATTATTTCACACTATGAAGAAGAGGTGTAAAGGAAAAAAAGGGTTTATGGCCATGAAACTAGACATGAGTAAAGCTTATGATCGGGTTGAATGGGGCTTTCTGAGACGCCTCCTTCTGACTATGGGCTTTGATGGGAGATGGGTAAACTTGGTAATGGAGTGTGTCTCATCGGTGTCTTACTCCTTTATAATTAATGGGGATGTTTGTGGTGCGGTGAACCCTACTAGAGGCCTCAGATAGGGAGACCCTCTATCACCGTATCTTTTTATCTTAGTAGCTGACGTTTTCTCTAGAATGTTGCAGAATAAAGTTCAGGAAAGAAAATTGCATGGGGCAAAAGCTAGCCGGAATGGACCAGAGATATCTCATCTTCTCTTTGCAGATGGTAGTCTTCTCTTTACTAGGGAAAACCGACAGGAATGTCAAACAATAGTTGGTATACTCAACCAATATGAACAGGCATCCGGGTAGAAAATTAATTATGAAAAATTGGAGGTGTCCTTTAGTAAAGGGGTCTTAGTTAATCAAAGGGAAGATTTGATGAATATTCTTAACATGAGACAGGTAGATAGACATAAGATATATCTTGGGCTCCCTACTATTGTGGGTCGATCTAAGAGGGCGGTCTTCGGAGCTTTAACTAATAGAATCTGGAAAAAGCTCCAGGGATGGAAAGAAAAACTCCTATCAAGAGCAGGGAAGGAAATCCTCCTAAAATCTGTCATACAGGCAATTCCTACATACTTTATGAGTGTCTACAAACTCCCAAATACGATCATTGATCGTATCCACTCTGCTATGGCCAGATTTTGGTGGGGTTCATCGGAAGGAAAGAGAAAGATCCATTGGAGAAATTGGAGCTCTATGTGCACACTAAAATGCTTAGGGGGTATGGGTTTCAGGGATTTGAGTACTTTTAACGAGGCTTTGCTAGGAAGGCAAGCATGGCGCCTAATCAAGGCCCCTAACTCCCTCCTTGGGCGCGTCTTCAAAGCAAAATATTATCCTCATAATGAGTTTTTGGACTCGTCCCTGGGGCTGGCTGGAAGCTACTCATGGCGTAGCTTATGGGCGTCAAAGGCCCTTGTGAAGGAAGGGGTGGGCAATGGCCGAAACATTAAGCTCTGGAGTGATCCGTGGACTGTGGATTCGGAGGGGCCTTTCCTTACCAGTATGACTGTTCCGAACCTACAATGGGTGAGCGATATAGTTGATGAATCAAGAGGAGAATGGCGCCTTGATATTATTGAAAACTCCTTTAATGAAAGAGATAGGCGCAATATTTTAGCCACCCCCATAAGCGAAACTGATCAGAAAGATGAATTATGCTGGGCTTTCTCAATGTCTGGGAGTTATACTGTAAAATCAGCGTACATGTTGGGGAAAGGAGGAGATTTTGATGTATTCCACCAAGCATGGGTGGAAATCTGGAAAGCTAATGTTTCTCCAAAAGTGAAGCACTTCTTCTGGCGCCTCTGTTCAGATACCCTCCCAACGCGAAACCTCCTTCACCGAAGACATATGATAGAAGATGAGTCTTGCCCGTGGTGCGGGGTTGCTACGGAAACGGCTGAACATGCTCTTGTAGGGTGCTCGAGAGTCAGGGATTTATGGACAGATTGCAACTGTGAACAAATGGCAGATTGGAGCACCACTCTGTCCCTCTGTGATCTAATGGTCAGCTAGAAACCTCTCGACAAGAAGGTAAAACAAAGGGGTATGTTTCTTGCTTGGATTATATGGGGAGAAAGAAACCGCAAGATTTTCGAGAACAAGATCACGCCCAATGAAATAATCACCCAACGTGTCTTCAGATATGTTGATGAGTTTGATAAGTAAGCTGGCCGTATCTACAAAGCCGTGACTTCCCTCCCAAATCATAGCCCCACCAAGTGGCTTGCACCCCCCGAGTGGCATCATCAAAATCAACACTGATGCTTCTTTGGTGGATGAGGGTTGGGTGGGATTAGGGATCGTTGCTAGAAACTACGAAGGGAAAGTACTATGGGCTGCAACAAGAAGAATGAGAGCATGCTGGGCTCCTGAGATTGCTGAAGCAAAAGGAATTCTCCAAGCTCTAAAATTGGCTGCCTGTCACAGGAACATCATTCTAGAATCTGATTGCAAAGTGGTGGTGGATCGCCTATCAAAGGGTGTGAGGCATTCGACTGATCTTGACACAGTTTTGGGGGATATTTTGCTCATGTGTACGAAATTTATTTCTGTAAGTTGGTATCATGTAAGAAGAGATGGCAATTGTGTTGCTCATGCTCTAGCTAGACTTGTTCCTTTTGGGGTTGAACAAATCTGGGAAAACTCGTACCCGGAATCTGTTGCACCCTATGTACTTATGAACTCTTTGTCTCTTTAAGTATTCCATGTTAGCTTGCTTTCAAAAAAAAAAGCTAGTAAAAAGCGTAATATTTTTGCATTTTATAATTCTACTTGACATGTCAACATTGTCAAGTGATCCAAGTAGAAAAAGATAATGAAAAGTAATTATTTGCTATGCTAATTCAGAAATTAATCCCATTAAACTAGAAAAATCGAAATTGGGCACAATTGAAAACGCACCCATCAAATAGCTTGTTGAAGCATCACTTTCATGAATTTCTCACATTAATGTTTTGTCAATTTCAGGCCTTTTCTGGACCTTTCGGTTAAGATAAGAGCTTTTTTTATGTTTGTCATCTTTAATTTATTCATATTCCCTTTTTTAATTTTTTTAAACATCATTCTAGCATCATGTTTTTACAAATTCGGAAGCACGTACGTACGTTTGAGCTTATCCAATCCATTGACAAATACAACTTGGATTAAATATAAGTAAAATTTGGAATCTTTGCTTTAATTTATTGCTTATTACATGTTTAATCTTGCTAGTTATACTTATGTTTAATAATTTATCTAATGATATACACTTATGCAGAGATTATAATTGAATGATGAGCGACCCAATTATAATTTTTTTTTCCCTTAATCTTGGATACGAACTGACCACCCTGCAGTATGTATTTCTAGAAGTTGACAGTTTTTAAGTATTGAACCGATGAAGGGGGAGTGGTTTTGCATTTATAGGCGTGCCCTAATTATAAGGACAAGTAACAAACAAATGAGTATAACAAACTACAACAACTTTTGTGTACGGCTGACTACACCGTGTGGCCAACTGACACACACCAAGTAATCCCTAACCGACCGAATAACCCCTAACCGACCAAGTAACCCCCGACTGACTTAGTAACCCTGATTGAGTGACCCCTGACCGAGTAACCCCTGACCGACTTGATAACCCATGACTGAGTGAGTAACCCCTGACCGACCGAGTAACCCCTAACTGAAATAACCCCCGACCGACTTAGTAACCCTTGAAAGAGTGAGTAACCCCTATACGGAGTAGCACTAACAAAGTAACCCCCATAATGGTGGCCACACGGTGTGACCAACCATATATAAAAGTTTGTGAAAAAACTAATACGAGTAGTGAATTAGTAAAAAAAAAATATATATCAAAGTTTTGATTAATAAAATTTATCTAAAATAAACTTACATTGCTTATCTTGAATGGACTAAGCTTAAAATGTCAAACTTAATATGAACGGAATAAATATAAAATTAAAGAAAATGCCAATAATACCATCTCAAATAGACTTAAAACTATGGGTATACTTCAAAGACATCATATATTATCCCTTTTAGTTTTCACAATAGAATAATAATAATATATATAGTAACACATAATTATCCAAATTTTTTTTATGTAATACGGTCCAAGCTAATAGTAGTACATTAGAGAAATTAAACTAATTCAATATTATTCTTCAAATTTATGTTATACGTGTACTGTGTATGATTCTGACAACCCTAATATTATACTGACATTATCTCTGTAGTAATACAAATTGTTTACTCATCTGAATTTCAAGAAGAATTAGATTCCTTTTAGCTTCAAAATTTGTACATTTAGTCCTAATCACATCAACTTCACCTGCCTATAATGTTTTGATTACGTCTATCCAATTTAAAATACATGCATTCTTCAAAACAACCACCTGAGCAAGAGATTAATTAACTTCATAAAAAGATTCTTTAACGGTAAAAAGTAATTCCTAAACTTAATTTAATTAATACCCAAATGCTATAAACATTAATTAATACTCCGTATTATTTTTATAGATCAGGGGATTCACATCAAGTAACTAGGTATAGGCGTAGGGGTCAACTTTCCTAGCACTAATTGAGTTAATCGAATTTTTTCACTTTTAATGGTAGGTACTAGATTGCAATATCATTTTTGGCATAGGATAGATAGCATTATCTCCTTATAAACACCCTCAAAATGACATATGTACAAGTTATTGACAAAACACATCCAATACATAATTATAGTCTTTTAGGCTCATGTTTTTTTCTCAGGTAGGACCTTATAGTAATTATAATGAATGCAATAGGATTTACAAGTTTTACAAGGTAGAACACACTTTGTGTGGTCATGCAAAAAAATTATCCATAATCATGACACAAATCCCAACGAAAACGGTATTCTTATATGCATAGAGTGTACTATTAATAGGTGCACCCAAATGACAGATTCTTAATTGCATCGAGTGTACTATATGTAGGTGCACCGGAAGATAATAGCATGTTTACTCAGGTAGGTATTTTATAATGATATTCTCTCCGTCTCTTATTTTTTGCTTTATGAGAGAAATGTGGTAGGATTAATTTTAGTTGGAAAAAAAATAATGAGTGGCTGAGTGGGAAAACTGGTAGGATTAATGGGGTTGTTTGTGAGAGTAAATATGTAATCCCATATATCTAAAAATAGAAGGGGCAAAAAAAAAAGACAAACTAACATAGAAATTGGGGCAAAACACAAAGGATAGAAGGATTATAAACCAAAAAAATAGTGTGATAAAATTACCTTTAGATTGTTCCTAACTCTATATTAATACATCGGACAACATATAAGAATTACTAAAAAAACAAAAAATGGGACCCATTTTTTAAGTCAACACCATACCTTGATTACCATTCTTGTTATCCACCACATTTTCATTATTATTGCAATCTTATAAACTCTTCCACCTAAACCACTACCCTTAATCTCTTTCAAACAACATTTCCTTTCCCTCTCCTCCACTCGAACAAGGAGTGGGCATGCCTTGTACTTCCCATACCCATCCTCATGTCAATCATCTCTGCTTCATCCTCGTCGCCTCCGTCGTCGTCTTCACCTCACCAATTAAAGCCCAACAACCACCACCATGGCCTGACTCTAACCAAAACTACAACTCCCCTATGGCCACTGCCCTCATTGTCATGATCATCGTTTTCTTCTCGGTCGGGTTCATATCCGTCTACCTCCGCCACTTCCTCGCTTGCTTCGGCTTTCGTGCCTACGGAGGTGGTCGCCGTGGTGTTGGAAATCATATAGGAGGGCAAACACGACATCCTCCCTGTGGACTCGACCCTACTATAATAAACTCTTTCCCTACATTTTTGTACTCCGACGTTAAAGTCCACCGCGTAGGCAAAACTACGTCGTTAGAGTGCGCAATTTGTATAACAGAATTCACTGACAATGAAATATTACAATTGTTGCCTAAATGTAACCATGTGTTTCATCCTCATTGCGTTGGTCCATGGTTCGCCTCCCACGTCACGTGCCCGGTTTGTAGAGCGAACCTGGAGATTCCGGTCCATGATCAAAGAACCATCAATTTCCACCAACGGTTCGAGCAACCGTCTTCAGGGGACGAATCAGAGCCGTCCAACCATGGTTTAAACCAAAACGACAGTCATCCCAGGGATGTGATCGTACGAGTTGAACCGCCACCAGAGATAACGGCTAAGAGTCCTATACAGGATATTATGAAGGGATTAAGTGAGAGCGGTCGTATGATAAGATTACCTAGGTCACATTCAACGGGTCATTCATTAGTCGAAGATAGTGAGAGATTTACGCTAAGGTTGCCGGATGAGGTACGTAACAAGTTAGTAAATGATGGTAATCAATTATGTGGTCTACCAGCTGCTATAGTTAGTCCAAGAATTGGGTACCGTGTTAGTAGTGTTGGTTGTGGTACAATGCAAGGGAAACCCGACCGGTGGCGGTTTTCAATGAGCCCGCCTTTTATTTCCCGGCCGGGTACCCGAAATCGGAAGTTGCCATGGATTGCAGCTACACAACCCTAGTAAAAATAATACTAGTGGCAATAACAATGTGTCAGGGGGAATATTAAGAAGTCCAATAAATTTATTGAAGTCAATGAGATCGCCGAATAAATCGCCGTTACACCATGTTGGTAGATGTAATGACATTGGTGAGCGATCGTCGGATCGGTTAAGGGCTAATCCAACGCTTCAACAGCTCGAATCGGAGGTTCATCATCAAAAGAGTTGATCATGAATCATGTTGAATTTAACCCCCAAAAAAGTCTTGTTAGTTTTTACTAGCTTAGCAAGGAGTTGAGCTGGGTTCAACCAAAATTTGAGGTTGGTAATCTCTTCATAATTTGGTATTAGGCTTTGGGCTTAAGACAAAAAGCCCAAAAGTTCGAAATTTAATATGGGTCAATATGTTCCTAATCCCGGTCGGATTATTGATAATCCGGCCAGGGTGAAAGTTGATCAACTAGTGATTTTGCCAACGAAGAGTTGCTCATTATTGGTTCGAATCCGTGTGGTTGGTGGGGAACAAAGGATATATAGGGAATATATGTGTTTATAGTTGAATTGGAGTTTAATACACAGTATTTGTGGAGGAACTTTAACCAAAGGAAGACCTTTTTTAGTTGGGTGTCTAGGGGAGGAAATTGTAATTTCATATATGGTTTAATTTTGAGATGTCATTGTATATAATTCAATTATTACAGAAGATTTTTTTTTGTTATTTTAATTTTGTCTTCTTGTTCAATTACATACATATGAAGTATACTGTCATGTAGTTTGATGAAGTCTTTAAAAGCATGTCAACGATTTATGATAGAGCTATTGGATCCTAAGCTTGGAATTAGGGATTTGTTTATTTAATTAGTCTTTTATAATTATTAATTAGGTTGGTTGCTAGCTTAGCGGTTACTAATAACTTCCTTATGGTATGGTTTTATATCATTATCTATTTATCTAACACTCACTATCTCATAATTAAGAGATTAGCCGGCTTCATATTCTCTTACTTGTATATAGTTTAGATTGGGAAAGGCAAACACGTTGGCCAAGCTGATAATGTTTGCCCAAAGTCGGAATATACAAGTGAGATATCATAAAAAAAATTTTATTGCCATTTGTCAAATTCTTGTTCGTCGCCACATTATTTGTTTGTTTATTTATTTATTTTACCGTGCGTTTTGGGTGTGGCTGGCTACACCGTGTGACCGTTTGTAAAAGAACAAAATAACCCCTATAACACTGATCGAGTAACCCTTGTAAGACTGACCGAGTAACCCCTATAACACTGACGAAATAACTCTTATAACACTAACGAAGTAACTCCAAACATTTGCACCAAAACTAACGAAGTAACCCTTAAAAATTGAATGGGTAATCCTTATAATATTAATGAAGTAACTCCTATAATGGCTGGTTATACGGTGTGACGTGTGACTAGCCACATATTAAAATTTGTGTTTATTTTAAACATTTGCTAGATATTTTTTTCCCAACTAAAACTTCCCATGCATGTTACCATCCTCATCCCCCCATAATATTTATGTATACTCTTTCTTACTCTGTTCACCCTTTTTCATACAAATACTTTCCTTTTTACATTGCGGCTCTATTATATATACTTTATCCTCTTCTTATACCCATTCATTTCATCAAAATTTCATAGAAACAAGAATATACATCTAGTGAGCTGAATAATAAGAAACAAATAGAGTACAAAGTACTAAAGTTGACCGCATAATTAACTACTCTTTAAAAAAAAAAAAAAAAAAAAAAAAAAAAGGAATCATTAAGATGCAGTCATCGTTTAACCACTTGTTGAAATTAAAATATCTCAATTTATTTCAAAATATCTTATTTATAATTGATTAAGATAGGTATTGTTTATCCAGACAACTTAAGGCTGTTTTTTAGAGAAGAGATTAGGCTGTGTTTAATAGGTTGTTAATAACATAAGCACGCTTATATATTGTTACATTTGGCGTTCTGCACATGAATGAACTAGTAAACTAAATTAATTATATGTGCTAAAATGATACTTGTTTGAAAGATTTTATATAATTAATTATTTATCATACTCAACCTCAAGTTTGTACAAGTTTCTACGTTATCAATTTGCTAACTAAGCTGATTCAAAACCTTTTGTATATCTTGCAATTCTCCTTCCATAATAAATTAAATAGGATACCACATAACAAGCAAAACTTTAAGATAAAGGATAGATTATGTTTATCACCAATCTTTAATCTGAATATTTTATGTTGTTTACTTTCATAAATTTGCTCGCAGTTGTTAATTTCCCCCCACCCCCCCCCCCCCTCTTTTTTTAAGGGTGTATGAGAAAAGAGTAGCAAGGGCCTCTGGACGTGATATAGTGTTTTTGATCCCAAGACTTGAATTCCACCTCAAAACTTTAACTAACATTCACTCGTAAAACGCAGTTTGTATATATTTTGTAACATAGATGAGACCTGACATATCTGAAAATTATCTTTCAGATAATTGAATCACTGTATTACACAACATTGTACTAGGCCCATCAATCAATATAGTTGGGAATAAAATGAGAAGGAAAGCAATAGTTGGGATTATTCTTGTTGATTTAAATAAAAATGTGATAGGATCATATAACTCATTAACAATTCGAAGGGGAAAATTAAAACATAAAAGAGACGGAAGAAGAAAAAGGGAGGAGGTCAGATCCATGAGGGAATACAACGGGTTGGTTGATTGACCAGAAATGTGAAATATTGTGTGTACTTTTGTTACGTGACCACATTTTCTTACATATTTTTAACTTTAATTTTGATCTCTTTTATAATTTTATTATTGCATAGCCAATTAAATTATTTTAAACTACACTCGTATATAAATCAATAATACATATAAGATCATCTTCTTTATTACATTGTGATTCCTTAAACATAAAATAAAAAATAATAATGACAAGTTATTGACTACTCCTAATTTCCTTCGTTATCTTAACATCTCAACCCACACCACGCCAAATCCTTCATTAATAACTCTTATAATCAATCTCAACTCACAAAGGGAGTGGCATGATATGCCTTACCTTAACCACTTTCATCGCACCCTCTTTCTATTTGCCTTATTATTACTCACCCTTCCATACACAACAACAGCCCAACCATCACCAACTTCAGACAACTACGACTCACCTTTACCCATCAATGCCATCATCATCATCATCGTCGTCGTCTCCTTCGGTGTCCTCACTTGCTGCGTCCGTCCATTCATCTCTTGCTTCAGCGCCTACATCTACGGTGGCACTCAAGAAGGCGGCGAAGGCGACGATGGTGGAATACGGAGGAGGGAAAATCCCCGTGGACTTGACCCTTCTATAACAGCGGATTTTCCTACATTTTTATTTTCCGATGTTAAAGTCCACTTGATTAGTAAAACGACGCCGTTAGAGTGCGCAATATGTTTAAACGAGTTCGTTGACCATGAACATTTGAGGTTGTTACCTAGATGTAGCCACGTGTTTCATCCTCATTGCATTTCACCTTGGCTTGCATCCAACCTCACTTGTCCTGTTTGTAGGGCAAATTTGGAAATTCAAGTTGACCGTCCAAATTCTCCTAAGTCGTTAGCGCAAGTACTCCTACAACCGTACGAGGATGAATTGGACACGTCCTCGGATCAAGTTTCGCAACCTCCTCGTGGTGACGATCAAGGGGATGACGTGATCGTTCATGTAGGATCATCTCCAGAGGTTATATTAAAAAGTCCAACACTAGACACAATTAATGGTGTGGGTGAACGTAGGGGATTTTTCCCTAGGTCACATTCGACGGGTCGTTCATTGGTTGAAGATCGTGAGAAGTATACGTTAAGGTTACCTGACGAGTTACGTAACAAGTTAAGGAATATAAATAATTTAAGTGGTCTACCCCCTGCAATGGTTAGTCCACGGACCGGGTACCGGTCTAGGAGGAGTAATAGTTGTGCTACAATACCAGGTAAACCGGACCAATGGCGGTTTACTATGAGTCCGCCTTTTATTTCCCGGTCAGGATCTACCGGGATGGCAGAAGGTAGCAATAGCAATAACAATAATAATTTAGGGGTGATCATGAGAAGTCCTCGGAGTTTTTTTAAATCAATGAAATCACCAAAGAAATCACCATTGAACCGTATTGTTCGATGTGATGACATAGGTGAACGGTCATCGGATAGATTATGGTGCAATCCTACGTCGCAAGAAATCGAATTAGATCATCATTAGTTGTTTAATTTGGTCAATGAACTTTGAGTATTATTGTAATTTTTGGATTGTGACTGGTTGGGCGGTTGAAATTTTGTTTATGACATTTTTTTTTTTAAATGTATATGAGTATGATTTTTGTAATGATGATTGATGAATATATGAAGGGGTATTACATATAGTAAAACAGGTATAGCAACAAGGTCTAACTCATTTTTTATTTATTTATAAAATTAATAATTTGAGTGTCAAATTACATACTAATTCGAATTGTGGCCATTGTATTAAATTAAATCGTAGCCATTTATTTCTATTGACTAATGTGAACCGTTGATATGATTTACTTTTTATCTTTTTACTTTATTTTAAAAAAAAATTATCACGTTCTTATCAGTTTTCTGTTTTAGTTTCTTCTTTGTTAATTCAGTTTTTTTTTTTCCCTTTACTTCTCTTCAATCTTTCTTCTTTGTTTTCCTTATTTTAAAATGGATACATATTGCAAAAAAATCCAAGCAACTCTATTTGAATATCTGACCTAATGCCATAGCATAGCACTATGCGCAAAAAACACATATAATGAAATACAGATGGAACTTGGCAATTGCCAATATCTAACTGTTATTATTTGAAATCAATTTCCTAACTTCCAACTATTTAGCCCCAAATAAAGCCATAAGAAGTTAAAGACATATTGAGTAAAGCAAAGAGTGGATTGAAGAAAAAAATATAGTGAAGACGACAATAATAGTTGGATAGCCAATCATTATAATCAGTATACATGACACACGAACAAAGATTGAAGAGAAGTAACTAATAAAAATGTGATTTTTTTTTAAAATTCTTTTTTGGTCAATTTTTTTTTAAAAAAAAAAAAAAAAAACAAAACATGTCAACGGTTTATATTAGTCAATAGAAATGAACGGTACGGTTATAATTTGATTTAATACAATGGTCACAATTTTATTGTGGCCATCTGAAATCTGTCCTAACATGAATACAATTTTTAATTTCACTTTATATTATGTTGGCATTTGTGAATCGACTAAATCCCACAACATCTGATCTGATTTGGTTTACCGTTACTTTAACTTCATTCAATTACGGAGTAATTAACATCATGTAATTTCAATGAAAAAACAAAAAATTTAGAATATGTTTGAAATTTTCATTTGTCTCTATTAAGGAAGATTTTAAAGAAGGGAACGTGAAAATTCAATTTCTAATAATCAATATAAAAAACATGTGACAAGTCGTGTTTTAAAGTTGGTCATTGACAACCCGAATCCAATCCTCCATGTTGAATACTCCCACGATAATCGTGTATTCATATGCCCCATGCGGTCTTATTGATTTTCCTATTATTTTTTAGAGTTAATATTTCCCGTATTTCTCTAATGAAGTAATTTGCTGATTAGCTAGGATGGTAAGACTTTCTATAACTTCTACAATAAATTCATTCATTTTACAAATATTTGCCCATTATTCTTTCTCTCTCATTTCCTCTTTATTTTCTTTTAAACATAAATCTTACTCCGTACTTTCTATATAATCACATACACATTATTAACAACCCACTTGCTATCATTCTTTTTTACCAAAATTATTGTAACAATTGCAATTGATGCACTTTTATTGTGACAAAAAGTACATATATATATGCCGCAAAAAGTCAAATGTTGTTACTTGAAAATGAAGGTACTCTGTTGTAGGCTAGTAGCATAATAAGTACTATACTTGCTAAAAATAAGAAATTTGTACCATAATACATTAATACTCGCATCTACTTTTAAAATATACTTCCAAGTTCCAATAATTAACACAATTGTTTAATTTACATTTCTGTAATAGCAACGTAATAGGTCAATGACTAAATGACTACCACGCCTGAAGCATTAGATGAAAATCTTTCTAATTAAATCATCAAACTACCCGAAATTGGCATGTTTATTGGTGCATATAATTGTAGATTACAGTACATTCATATATTTGGAATATCATTATACTTCTATGCACGTAACGATACATGCTAGCCAGTAACCACGTACTATATATATAAATCAATACTATTGTCCTACCTAATAATTCATGTACTACTACTGTTAAGGATTGTTAATTTTGTTCATAAAAGTTTTCCTACTTTAATTTTCCTAACCAACTTAAATGGGAAGAAAGAATTCATTGTATTTGCTTCTATTAGTAATCTCACCTGTTTTAGTATCAGCTGAGAAGGGTAAATCAGCATGGTGGTCAACCTTTCTCATCTCAATTGTATATATTGGGTTCATCGTATTCGCCGCGGCTTTGGCGATATTTATAAGGCGTTCCCGTGAGCGTCGCGACCAACTCGACAACGATAACGTTGAGCGTGCGGCTGGGTTGGACGTGGAGGAGATTGATTCGCTTCCGTCGCTTAGGTTCGCACAGATAAAAATGTATAGAAATGAAAAAGGAGAGCAGCAGGAGCTAGAGTGCGTTGTGTGCCTTAGCGAGTTTAAGGATCAAGAGGTGTTGCGCATTTTGCCTGATTGCCTTCACGTCTTTCATCCTCATTGTATTGCGCCTTGGCTTGCTTCTCATGTCACGTGCCCCGTATGCAGGTTGGATTTTATTTTATTTTGGGTAATTTAGCAAAATAATTAAGTGTAAATTTGAGTACTTATTAGAGGAAAATAATATTTTGCGTCTATTGTCTATAATTTTATATTTAACAAAATTTGATATTTAAAAAATAGACGTTAAGATAAATCAAACATTCTATTTATATTTTCTTAAGGATTAATTAGAGAATAAAGTTAAAATAAGTTATGTAAATAGTGACGAAAGCGAAACGTGTCAAATAATATGGAACAGATTTAAGATAGACCTCAGCACCTCACTTATCTTCTTATGTGTGAAATTAGTGGGCTCTCCTCCTGTCGTGGGCCTTAGAGTGTAGCCCATAAACCTTAAATCATTAAAGTTCGGTCACATTAATTCAAACATGGATTACACACCTTCACACACACACTTGCATATGTGGCCACTACTCTCTACAACTCCCAGTACAATCACTACTGTCCACTACTGCTGATGATTTATGCATTCATTACTTCAAGATAATTTAGAGTACTTAACTAAATGACAAAAACAGTAAATAACAACTTAGGCAATACAGGTAAGATTTATAACCACTAATTAATAAATAAAAATCATACAAAAAAATATCAATTACGTAAATTAGAAAACATACATATAAAAATATCTAATAACTTTTTACATAATACGTTTTAATAGTTGTTGTTACATACTTTATTATTCCGTAATAATTTTGTAATAAACATGATCCACGCATGTAGAAATCTAAAACAATACAAAAGTCAACGTAAAATAGTTACTAATAAAAAGACGTAGCTGAGTATAGATTAGCCTAATGAATTCGATCCTGAAGGAAGGGAAATGGGCCAAGAATGGAGAATGAAAATGTGTGGTGAATAGAGAAAGTAAGATAGTGAGGCTTATGTATGTAAATGATAACCTCATCTTAAGACTTTGGTTGTTTAAAAAGAGTATATATATGTAAACTTAGATTAACAAATAAATTAAATAATCTTAGTTATACTTGGCCCCAAACTAATTAAGAGGGGACACCGTTTACCAATTCATAGTCAAACAATATGCAACCTCTCCGATTATACGAAGTTACAAGATGACCACCAATACCCAATCATGCACCTTAACATGTGAAAAATTAATTAATTAATAACTAACTAATCTATTAAAATCAAATTATGATCCAACTTGACCATGTTTGGTACATAGACTGAAAAACTTACTCTATACATGTTATGTAACACCACTACTATCTACCTAAGCATGCAACAACTAAACCAACAAACACAAAGTTACGCACTAAAAAAAACTTTAAAAAATATTGAAAAAATAATGAGGAAAGATCATTTTATTGTGCTTCTTTTACTTCTATCACCATCTTTGGCATTTGCTGAAGATGGAAAACCAAAAAAATGGTGGTCAACACCTCTTATCATAGTCCTTTACATAGGGTTCTTCCTAGTAGCAGCCGGTATAGCGCTATGCGTACGCCATTTTCGTGACCGGAACCTCCCCCTACACTACCAGCATGAGCGGGAGGAACGTGGTTTGGATGCGGAGGAGATAGAGTCACTTCCTTCGCTACGATTCTCCGAGGCTAAAATGCACCGGCTTAAAGAGGAGGACCGGCAGCTCGAGTGTGCCGTGTGCCTTAGCGAGTTTAAGGATCAAGAGGTGTTGCGTATTTTGCCTGATTGTTTCCATGTTTTTCATCCTTCTTGCATTGCGCCTTGGCTCTCTTCTCATGTTACTTGCCCGATTTGCAGGTTCGATTTTTTTTTTTTTTTATAACTCTTAAGTGTTACATGATCTTAACTATAATTCTATAACTAGATAACTGATTAATTATAAATTTATTAGGATTAATTGTTTAATTTTGGCTCTAATATGAATAAGCTAGAGTATTTATTAGTTTACATATATGTGCATCAATACTTAATGTTTGGGTCCAATTTAGTCCAAATTGGGCTTAAGCACTAAATGATCCAATTAAAAGCCCAAGGTCAAGGTTCAACTCTCCAATTGTGCAAAAGTCAAAGGTCAGCCCACAAAGCAAGCCAATTGGGCTAAGGCCCAACCTCTCCATGTATGATGAGGTATAAAAGCCATCATATTGACTCATTCATAAAGAGATTCACATTCATATTCAGATATTCATATTCTGATTCATTGATAGATTCACATTCATATTCAGATATTCATATTCTGATTCATTGATAGATTCATATTCCATAAAAAGCCTCAAGCTACAAACTCTCTTGCATAGTGTCTTCTTCTTACACATTGTACTGACTTTAGCATCGGAGGGGCCTTCCTCGGCAACACCCCCGAGGCTAGTTTACGTGTGTTTACTGTGCAGGAAACCTTCGGCTCAACATAACTTGGACCGAATCCAGTCTTCTCCATTTCAGCGGACCTTCGGCAAGGTCCCATTGTTTTCACCCGAAACAATTTGGCGCCGTCTGTGGGGAAGACTTTCAAAAATCTTTAAGCCAAATTCCTAACCAAGATCATCTTGCAATTATCTTAGCAGCAATGGCTAAGAACCGCAAGAGCAAAAGCCTCCGTCAAGGAGCGGGCGAAAAGCCTAAAACACCATCGCCCTCGCCGGACCGAAACTCTCCCAAGGGTGCCGGCTCGGGGGGAGGATCATACAAGGAGGATTCCCTATCTCCCGTAATTCAAGACTCTCAATATAAGCCGGGCCACTCTCGGTCTAGCAGGGGTCAGTCCGATCATAGGACATATTCAGTGTCCCAAAGCCAACCATCGGCTGCGCGCCCTCACTCCCACACTCGGCCGAGGACCCCTTTGACGGGGCCCAGCTCGGAAGAGGTGGCAAGAGCGCTGGCAGTACTCATGGAGGCGATGAGGGCACAAAATATGCCACCACCTCGTGATCGAACTCCTCCGCATACCCGGCATCAGCGGAGGAAGTTAGACCATGATGGTGGGAAGCTTCCTTCCTTCCGGGAACTGGAAGAGTGGGAGGAAGATTCTTGGAAAAATGAAAAACAGAGGAAAAAGAACCCTCAATTTTTAAAAGGATCCTCATCCTCAAGACCAGAAGCGCATAAGAGCAGCAGCTCAGCTTCTCGGCCAGAATCTACTCACCGAGAACCTGAGACTGTTCGCAGAAGCGTCCTTGACCGACTCGGCGGCCAGGAACCGAGCGTGCGTAGTCGCCTCTCGTTCCCTGCAGCCGAGGCCCAGACTTCCCAGCCAGGGACGAAAACCACTCCTACCTCTCTAAGAGGGCGGAGCGCGGTCCCTTCGGCTAGGAACAAGGGCAAGGTCGTTATGCTACCCGCTAGTTCACCATTCGAGCAATGGATACTGGAAGAGCGCGTACCCACGGTTAAAATCCCTTCGCACATCACATATGACGGGACCACGGATCCGAAGGACCACGTGGCCTCGTATGAGACTCATATGCATCTTTGCCCCAGATCCGAGGCGACTTGGTGCAAATATTTCCCAACCACTCTCAAGGGGGTCGCGCAAGCGTGGATCTCCAAGGGAGTAAGGCAAGGCTCCATAACAGGGTGGGATGATCTGTCCTCCAAGTTCAGGAGCAAGTTTTCCACGGCAAACCGCCGAGAGAAGACTACCGCAGAGCTCATGAGTCTGCAACAGGGGGAAACCGAAAGCCTCCGAGACTACCTGACCCGTTTCAGTAACGAGTCATCAAGCGTCTCCCAGCTGGACCAGGGGCTAGCCGTTTTCGCAATGCAGAATGGCCTTCAGCCAGGAAAGTTCCTAGACTTCATGGTCATGCATACCCCGCAGACTTTGGAGGAAGCTCTTAGTGCTTCGGATAAGTTCATCCGAGCCGAAGAATGGAACAAAGCGAAAACCCAACCTCAATCCGGGGGAGGGAAACAGAGGCAAATACCCTTGTCTGAAGGCCAAGGTCATAAGGCAAAGGGAAAGTCAAAGGCCCCGGAGCAATCTTTGGCCAACGACCCAAAGAAGGAAAGATTTGCCTCATACACAGGCAGATACGAGTCCTACACTCCGCTCTCTCTTCCACGCGCCAAAATTTACAGTGTGACGAAGGAGGAGCAGAGTTACCGAAAGCCGAGACCACTCCCAGAGTGGTATCAGCGAAAAAATAAAAATCAGTGGTGTGAGTTCCACGAGTCTTCGGGCCACAACACTGAGGAGTGTATCCAGCTGAAGGACCAGATAGAGGACATGGTCCGGAAGGGATACTTGAAAAAATACATCGCGGATCACCGCGAGAAAAAAGAATCCGAGAGGTCAGCAAAGGACCCTCGGCAGGACCTTGATTTCCCCCGGAAAAACAGTAAAAAGCCGGAGGGGAAATTCCCTCCGATCAATGTTATCTCGGGAGGAATATACTCTCGGAGGGAGCACAAGCGCCACCTTAGAGCTTTGACTCACCAGGTGAACAACGCTGACATTCAATCTCCCCAGCCGCCGGTGCCGAACATGACGTTCACAGCCGCCGACTGCCGGGGGATTACGTTCCCTCATGAGGATCCGCTGGTGATCATCGCCACGGTGGCCAACCACGACGTCAGTAAGGTCCTTGTTGACGGTGGCAGTGGAGCAAACATTCTGTTCCGAAAGGCCTACAATCAAATTAAGCTGAAGCCCAAGCACCTTACGCCGGTACCCTATCCGGTATTCGGGTTCAATGGGGCTTCAACTTATCCAGATGGGAAGGTGACACTTCCTGTCACCATCGGTTGCAATGAGGCAGCCCGGAACGTCATGATTGAATTTTTGGTCATCGACGCTCCTTCAGTGTACAACGTGATTTTGGGGAGACCCATAATTCACGAGATCCAAGGGGTCGTCTCAACTTATCATCAGCTGATGATTTACGTCTCAGACGCCGGCTTCCCCGAAAGGATACAGGGCAACCAAAAGGACGCCCGAAGGTGCAACTACCTCAAGCCATCCAGTAGTCGCCCAGATGACGACAAGGATGAGGAGGAGAAAGAAAAAGAAAGAGAGCCAAGCATAAAAAAGCCGAAAGGCCTAAGTGCTTCGGCCCAAGGATCTGTGCCCAGAGAAAAAGGGCCCGAAAGGGAAAAGGCTAGCTCTTCAGTTGAGCCGCAAGACTCAGAGAGCCAGCCGAAGAACACAAAGACTGGGACACCTGCTGACATTGGCAGCAGGCCAGATTCTGAAGAGTCCAGTCCATCGGCAATGGACATGGACCAACAGACTGAAACAGTCCAGTTGGCCGAAGGAGACGGTGAGAAATGTGTAGCAATTGGGATGGACCTTGATCCAAACACCCGTTGTGAACTTATTCAGCTCCTTCGGGACAACAGAGATGTGTTTGCTTTCTCGGCAGCTGATATGCCCGGGATAAGTCCAGACCTCATCTCCCATAAGCTTAATGTAGACCCGACGTGTCGACCAGTTAAGCAAAAGAAGCGGAATTACTCCGCCAATAAGAACCGAGACATCGCAGCCGAGGTCAAAAAATTGTTGGAGGCAGGGTTCATTGAACCTTGCCAATATCCAGAATGGCTGGCAAATGTGGTGATGGTTCAGAAGCCCAATGGTACCTGGAGGATGTGCGTTGACTTCACGGACCTAAATAAGGCTTGTCCAAAGGATTTCTATCCCTTGCCGAGAATCGATCAGCTAGTCGATTCGACAAGTGGCCACGCCTTGCTTAGCTTCATGGACGCATTCTCGGGGTATCATCAGATCTTTATGCACCCCGACGATCGAGCCAAGACAACATTCGTCACGAATGCTGGGGTGTACAATTACAAAATGATGCCCTTCGGATTGAAAAATGCGGGGGCAACTTATCAAAGGCTGGTGGATCAAGTTTTCGCCGATCAAAAGGGCCGAAACATGGAAGTCTATGTTGACGATTCGATCGTCAAAAGCAAAAAACTAGAGGACCATGTAAAGGACCTGGCTGAAACTTTCGCCACCTTGAGAAAGCATCAGATGAAGCTGAATCCGAAGAAGTGTGTCTTCGGCGTGAAGTCAGGGAAATTCCTGGGGTTCATGGTCAGCAAAAGGGGGATTGATGCCAATCCCTCTAAGGTCAAAGCGGCGCTCGACCTTCCTGAGCCGAAAACGAAGCGGGATGTTCAGCGGCTCACCGGAAGAATGGCAGCCCTCTCGAGGTTCATTTCCAGAGCTTCGGATAAGGGGTTACCTTTCTTCAAAGTCCTAGAACTCCCGAAAACAAAAGAGCTCGTTTGGGAGGAAGAGCAAAAAGACGCCTTTAAACAGCTTCGGGAGCATCTGGCTGAACTCCCAACGCTGGCTAGCCCAGCTGAAGGAGAAACTTTATACCTATATGTGGCCGTTAGCCCGGCCACCATCAGTGCAGTATTGCTGAGGGAAGAGAGTAAGAGTCAGCAACCGATCTATTTCGTCAGTCATACACTAACGGATGCCGAGACCCGCTATCCTCTACTCGAGAAAGTCGCTTTCGCGGTAGTAGTAGTAGCTGCTCGGAAGCTGAGGCCCTATTTTGATTGCCATCAGATAGTGGTCTTAACTGATCAGCCGTTGGAAAAAGTTCTCGGCAAGGTTGAAAAATCTGGTAGGCTAGCCAAGTGGGCTTTTGAGCTCACCGAATTCAGCATCAGCTACCGTCCGAGGGCTGCCATTAAGGCTCAGGCTCTAGCGGATTTCTTGGCCGAATGCTCATACCAAGAAGCGCTAGACAGTGAAAAGAAAGTCTGGACCGTGTTTACGGATGGGTCTTCCACCGAAAACGGTTCGGGGGCAGGAGTAGTGATAACTTCTCCCGAAG